GATACCCAGCTGACCAATTGGACCAATATGCTGTCTCAAATTGAAGCTTTTCTGATTGACGCGGAGGAGAAGCAACTGACAGATCGAGCCGTGAACCTGTGGCTCGACGATCTCCAGGATCTGGCATATGATTTGGATGATTTAGTGGATGAGTTCGCCACCGAAGCTTTGCAACACAAGCTCAAGGCAAAGCAGCCACAAGCTAGTTCCAGCAAGGTATGGAACCTCATCCCTAATTTCAAGCCAAGAGATGTTTTGTTTAATTTCAAGATGAAGTCCAAGATTGAGGAGATCAATACCAGATTGCACAATAGTTTTGAACAATGTTCAAAACTTAATTTGGTTAAGATTGTTGGAACCACCCCTACACCTACGACTAAGACTTGGCAAAGACCAGACTCTACATCTTTATTTGATGAACCTCGCATTTATGGCCGAGAATATGATCAAAGAAAGATAATTGAGTTGCTCGTAAGGGGGGATGAATCAAGTCATAACAACATTGGTGTAATTCCCATTGTGGGTATGGGTGGGATTGGCAAGACCACCCTTGCTCAGATGGTATACAATGATGAAACTGTGCAGAAGCATTTCGATCTAAAAGCCTGGGTCTGTGTGTCAGATGAGTTCAACATTATGAGAATAACAAAAGCAATTCTTGAGTCAGTGACTTCCCAGACATTTAGTTTTCACTTCCCAGACAAAAAGTGACATCCTTCCTGCTTTGAGATTAAGCTATCATGATCTCCCTTCGCATTTGAAGCAGTGTTTTGCATACTGTTCAATAATACCCAAAGACTATGAATTTGAGGAAGAGGAGATAGTTTTGTTGTGGATGGCAGAGGGTTTCATTATGCAAAAAAGAGAGAAACAAATGGAAGATGTAGGAGGTGATTACTTTCGGGAATTGTTGTCTAGGTCTTTTTTCCAACCATCAAGTACTAGTAAAGGCTCTAAATTTGTGATGCACGACCTCATCAATGATTTGGCTCAAGTAGTTGCAAGAGAAACTTGTTTTAGATTGGAGGATATATTGAAATATCCGGAGCAGTGCAAGACTATAAAGAAAGCTCGACATTCATCTTATATGCGGAAGCGATATGAGGGTATGAAAAAATTTGAGATTTTCAACAAAGCCATGCATTTACGAACCTTCTTACCATTTAACTTACCATATGGTGTGAATTGTCATTTGGCAAGCAATGTTCCCTTTAATCTATTGCCGAAGCTAAGACGCTTGAGGGTGCTCAATATGAGTAGAGATTGCATCACGGAAGTTCCAAATTCTGTTGCAGATTTGAAACATCTGCGGTATCTTAACCTATCCCACACCTCCATTGAAAAATTAACCTATCCCACACCTCCATTGAAAAATTACCTGAATCACTAGGCTCTCTTTACAATCTACAAACATTAATGTTAAGAGAATGTGCAAACCTGAAAAAGTTGCCAACAGACTTGGGAAGCCTAATTGACCTACGTCATCTCGATACTACAAATACACATTCCTTAAAAGAAATGCCACTGGGAATAGGTAAGTTGGTTAGTCTTCAAACACTGTCCAATTTCATTGTTACTAAAAACAATGGGGATCAGGTAAGAGAGTTGGGGAACTTAATTTATCTTCGGGGGAAGCTTTGTCTATCTGGGTTACAGAACGTGGTGGTTCCATTAGCTGCAAGGGAGGCGAATTTGAATGATAAGAATGCGTTAGATGTGTTATCAATGGAATGGAGTGTTAACTCAGATGATTCACGAGATGGAAGAGTTGAAACAGAAGTGCTTGACATGCTACAACCTCACAAGAATTTAAAAGAGCTCCATATCAAAGGCTACCTTGGTACAGGATTTCCGACTTGGATAGGAGATGCTCTATTCTCCAATATGACTGACATAAGTTTAGATAATTGTGGAAATTGTGCATCCTTGCCACCACTCGGACAACTACCCTCCCTTAAAAAGCTTTACATTACAGGTATGAGTGCACTAAAGCACGTTGGTTGTGAGTTCTACGGGCAAGGTGGTGTTCAACCTTTTTCGTTACTGGAGACTCTAAGCTTTGAGAATATGCCAGAATGGGAGGATTGGTATACTTTTGGAGATCACAAAGAAGTTCAACCATTCACTCGTGTCAAGTCTCTCTCCATAATAAAATGTCCCAAACTTCTTAAAATGTTGCCTACTGATCTACCTTGTTTGAATAATCTAGAGATTAGGGACTGCCCCAAACTCTGCGGAATGATGCCCAAGGATCTACCTTGTTTGAATGATCTAATGATTTCAAAGTGCCCGCAATTCCTAGTTGAAGGTTCCAGCATTAGCCTCCCGTCAATCACCTCGATAGCTATGAATGAGGTTCCTCTAACAAGCCTTCAAGCGGTCCTTGAGATGAGGAGCATGGTTGATGACGAACTGATATCAGCAAATGCAAAGTCTAAGCATCCGAGTTCAATAACTTCCTTGAGCATTGGGATGATTAAGAAACTCGAGCTCTTGCTGAAATGGGTTACTCATGGGCTGATGGAACTCGAAGCATTGGAGATCACAAGGTGTGAAGAACTCAAGACACTGTGGAAGAATGAGGCGAGAGTGCAACACAGTCTCCCTTGCTTCCGACGTTTGAAAATTGAAGGCTGCCCCCCAGCTTGTTTCATTGTTTGAAGAAGATGAGGATGAAGACAACAAAGGGCAACATGAGCAGCAGCAGCAGCAACAAGAGGGACTCCCCTGCATAGTGAGGAGGCTTGAGCATCTAACAATAGATAATTGTGAAAAGCTGGAGAAACTGCCACGGCTGCTACATAGCTTCACTTTTCTTGGAGAGTTGTATGTCTATAAGTGTCCGAGTCTCAGCTCTTTTCCGGAGACAGGTTTTCCGTGCACGCTGAAAACACTCAGGATAGGTGATTGTGAGGCTCTGCAATCCTTATTCGGGTGTTTAACACAGATTAATGACAGTAATCTTCAAGTGTTAGCTGTTGGTGATTGTCCATCCCTCACATGCTTGATATCGTGCAGAGGTGGGGGGCTACCACCCACACTCAAAGAGCTTGAGATTATTCGGTGTGAAAAGTTGGAGGCACTGCTAGTAGTAGATGAGGGGATGGAAATTACCTGTCCATCTCTTGAGTCTGTTTGGATCATTAATTGTGATAGGCTCAAATACTTGCCAGATGCCCTTCCTAATAATAATAATAGTCTCAATGAATTGTACTTGTCTGGGTGTAAGAATTTGGAGTACATTCCGGAAGGATGGTTCCACTCCGCAACAAATCTGGAACATTTGCATATCACAGGATGCAAAAAACTCAAGGCCCTACCACACGGATTGCAGAGCATCAACTACCTCACTTCTCTGCAATCGCTGGAGATGAATATTTCAGAATGGAACAACAACTTCAAGAAGATTGGTTTGCACAGTTTATCCTCTCTTACAACACTCCGGATTTCAGGCGGAATTAGCGTGGCAGAAGATGAAGAAGAAAAAGAAGAAGAAGAAGAAGGTGTAGCGGGGTTGTCCATCCCTCACATGCTTGATATCGTGCAGAGGTGGGGGGCTACCACCCACACTCGAAGAGCTTGAGATTATTCGGTGTGAAAAGTTGGAGGCACTGCTAGTAGTAGATGAGGGGATGGAAATTACCTGTCCATCTCTTGAGTCTGTTTGGATCATTAATTGTGATAGGCTCAAATACTTGCCAGATGCCCTTCCTAATAATAATAATAGTCTCAATGAATTGTACTTGTCTGGGTGTAAGAATTTGGAGTACATTCCGGAAGGATGGTTCCACTCCGCAACAAATCTGGAACATTTGCATATCACAGGATGCAAAAAACTCAAGGCCCTACCACACGGATTGCAGAGCATCAACTACCTCACTTCTCTGCAATCGCTGGAGATGAATATTTCAGAATGGAACAACAACTTCAAGAAGATTGGTTTGCACAGTTTATCCTCTCTTACAACACTCCAGATTTCAGGCGGAATTAGCGTGGCAGAAGATGAAGAAGAAAAAGAAGAAGAAGAAGAAGGTGTAGCGGGGTCCAGCTTTCCGATAGATGGGAAGTTGCTGCCCATCTCTCTGATCTATCTTGCAATCGGGGATTTCCGAAATCTGGAGAAGCTATCTTCGAAGTTGTTTCAAAACCTCGCCTCTCTTGAATCTCTTCTAATCTGGCGTTGCCCTAGGCTCAAATCCTTACCAGTGCAAAGGCTGCCTCCCTCACTTACAAGCTTGTGGATCCAGTGTTGTCCCAGACTAACAGGGAAGTGTGAAAAGGGGAAAGGCAAATATTGGCCCCACTTAGCTCACATACCTGAAGTCGAAGTTGATGATGAGTGATAAGCTCTGTTGTGGAGATGCCCACCGCAGTTTTACAAGCACTCAAATTGCCAGGTAGCAAAACATAAACTAATTTTATAAACATAAACATTTAAAAAATATTTTCAGATTTTAAAAACAAAAAATCATATGAAAAACAAAAGTGTTTTTCATTTTTTTTTTTACTGTTACAGATTTTAAAAAACTTAATCAAGCAATCTGATTGATAGTAAAGATTTCCATCATTGCTAATTTTTAATGTCTTTTTGCTTATTGATTTTCAATTTTTTTTTTGAATGACAGATCGCTGAAGTATGCAGTACATCATATTTTCAAGTTAATTGAATTTTTTTGGATGAGCAAGTTATTTGCAAATTCATATAAAAATTTAAAATAAAATGAATTTGTATTTTCAATTAATAAAAACTATTTTTGAAAATAATGAAAAAAATATGTTAAATTTAAATTCGGATGACCATTATGGAATGAGTAAATAATTTTTAAAATTTTGTTTGGTTTTGGAGTTTTCAAAATAGTTTTAAAATTTTTAATTCGTATTTTTTTAATATATTGGCTAATTTGTTTTATTTTTTAGATGCATCTAATCTACATATACTTAAAAAAAATTAAAAATCTTAAAAAAAATTAATAAATACAAAATACATATAAAAATGTATTAAATTTGTATATTTATTAATATTTAGTGATTTTTTAAACGATTTTTTTCATAAATTTTTTACGTTTTAGGTGTATTTAGATTGAGTCGATCTAAAAACTTGAAAAACCTTGATTAAATACTTAAAAAGTTCACTAAAAAAACAAAATATGGATTGAAACTTAAAAATTATTTTTGAAGACTCCAAAACCAAACAGAGTTTTAAAAATTATTTTAGATTCTAAAAACTAAATGAGTTTTGGGTTTTTAAATTTCTGAAAACTATTTTTAGAATATACAGCCAAACAAATTTTTGAAAAATTATCATTCAAAATTGATTATGGAAACCAAACCTTAGTTTTGGGTTTTCTGGGCTAGTCATTAATAAAATATTTTTGTATTTGTTAAGTTGTTGCCTATATAGTGACCAGGAAAAGTCAGATTGAAAGTGATTAAGCTGGTACAAATTCTTGTTGAAGGGAGAATTTTTTGGCCGGCCAAATGAGGGTGATTTTAAAAATAAAAATAAAAAAATAAAAAACGAAAGAGAATGAAATGCTATGATGTAAGTAGTTTGTAAATGCTTAGAAAAATTAAACAAATTTTTTGCTGTAGTAAGAGCTAACTTAAAAAGCTACAAACTAATATACGCATATCAGGTGTCCAAATTTCATTTTTGTGAGTTGTGTTAATAAATATGAAAACTAAAAGCAATTTTAATTGTTTACTTGGAGCTGTTACATTTTTTGTGTGAAAAAAAATTAGAGTATTAAGTTTTATCAATCTCTGAGGGATTATTTGATACAGAAATGTGCTTTCAAGGATTTGAATGCAAAGAAAGGCTTCTTCTGATGTATATCTTCGTCTGCTTTTATTTCCGAGGCAACCACAACAAATGGAAGAGTTCTCATTTCTTTCCAACTTGGTGCATTTGTCCCCAGATATCCTGTCCATCCAGTAATTGTTCACTATCCCCATGTACACTTTGACCAATCCTTGTAAGAATTTTCTTGAGTTGAAACCATTTTGGTGTTTTCTTTTGTAATATCTTTACCTAACTTGCATCATATGGCCTTTCATTTTGTTTAGGGGCAATATAGCTTTGGGAAAGCTTATGTTTAAAACATTCATAGTTTCACAATTTCATGGAGGTATGTTGAGTGATTTTTTATTTATCTATAGTTGCATATAGTGAAAATGTAGTGAGCTTGGCTTCCCCCACTATTTTTGTTTGTAAAATTTTTGGGTAGTATGTTGTATGAGGTGGCAATTCATATATATAGGTTGTTATAGTGATTCCCCAATTTGCTATTTTTCTTTTGATAACTAACTCTCTCTCGCAGATCATCAATACTGATTATTCATCAGCTTAAATGTACATGCATTTATATGATGTGTCCTTGACTATATTATAATTTGAATTTTGGTTACTGGATAACTTGTATGTTGTAAAAAGTTGAATGAAGTCATTTATTAAATTGTACAGGTCAAGTATCTTCCTGTTGTTTTACCCCTTGAAAATTAGTAGGAAAATGCTACCCATTTTGCTCAAAGGGTGAATCGACATTATTTGATTAATCTTTGCTACCTTGTTAGCTTTAGTTGATATTTTAATATTAAGTGTATTCTTATATATCAAAGTTTTTAATGGGGACATTACATATAATTTGTTAATTTCTTGTATATTGTTAGCGTGTTTTGTATTTCATATGCTTAATCTCCCTGAGCAATTCAGAACCAATGGATGTTTAACACACCGTAAAAATATTGTAATTGAATTTGTGTGATATTATGTCTACTGAATTTGTGTGTGGAAGCCTGCCCTTTTTTTTCACGTGTGCTCAAAGAATCAGCAAATTGATGATTCTTGGTCTTTGGATTTCAAATAATAATATATATCTATACAAAGATCAAAATTTCGTTTCAGTGTGTTGCTTCAAATAGTACAGAAACAAAAACATCTTGGAAATATTTTATGAAATAAAGATAAAATAGAAATGTTTGAAAATATAAATTGAAATATATCTAAACGTATCAAAGCCTAATAATTGATTAATTAAACAAACTGAGATTCATATAGTCATTCACATAAAAGAATTAAAAAACTAATGTTACTATGAACTAAAAATTATTAAGTATTGTTAAATAACTCAATTTTATAAAACAAAAGTTTCCAATAAGGTCTAAAAATTTACATAAGTAGCAGTAATAAATGTTTATGAAAATTTCTAAATTTGTATAGACACAATTTACTCTTTCTGTATATCACACTATGTTTCGGTGTGTTTCACTATGTTTTTATGTGTTTCAATGAAAACACTATAATTTTATTATTCCATTAGTGTTTCGTTTCGGTCTCTTGGGAAATGGCAACATTTCGGCCATTTCAATGGAAACAAACGAAAATTTTGTTCCTCATATATATTAAAGATAAATCCATGTCAAAAAGTTTTTCATTCATGTGCTGTCTACGTTTTTCATGTTATTTGGTTCCAAACAAATGGCATATGGTACCTATTAAAATTGGGTGTAACTGCACATGCAACAGCCCTCGTGTCTTCTATGTGCACTATGTTAACTTATTACAATTGGAGGAATAGTTTCCTATTGTCTGTCTTTAGTTTGGGAAATTTGTCCCTTTTGTATTCTTTTAGTGGCTGTTGGTGTATTGCCTTGATTCTTAGGGGCAGAGCCATGTATAACAAAGTTGGGTCAAGTGACCCCACTGGAAATTTGTAAATCTGAAATTATTATTCAGAGTTTTTGAAAATTTTATTTTAAATGAGGTCAATCTTGTACACTAAAAAATATGAACTAATTTCACAAAGCATAGAGATTAATATATAGTCATGTTACCCTTTTTTTCCTTCTAATATTTTAGTTATTCTTTTTCATTTTCATCTTTCTTTGAATTCTTTTGTAGATGTTCACGTGTTACCTACCTTATACATCACTATTATCCTAATGTCTAAGGAGATGATTACGGCATTATGTGACAGTTTAGGAGAGGATTTGTGTTTATATTTTAAAAAGGGGAAAAAAAAAAAGAGAACTTGTGGGCATTAAAAAGGAATTGTCAACAAACATAGTAGGTGTTGTTTTCTTCAACTAAATTACCTAAACAAACCTTATGTTCAAAGGATAAATCTGAATTAAATTTGTTCAAAATTTTAGTGAAGGGAAATATTATACATTTATGATTTATGGAATCAATTGTTTAACCTTATTAGCATTTATGGAATTTTAGTATTAGTGATGCAAGCGGTCATTTATTAAATTTTTGTAAAAATTAACTATTGTGGTTTTTGCTTTCATTATGGTATTTGTAATTTGGTAACTATAAATTACTTGATCCAGTTTTGTGTATTACATGAGTTTATTAGTGTACATTATGTATAATTGAAGGTTGATATTAGTGGTGAATTGTTTAATGGGCGTTTTTGGCTCCACAATGGTTGATTCTTAGAACTAATATGGAGAAGAATCCTATTTTTGTGAACTTGATGATTATCTAACAGCACACTCCATTTTGGAATTGTCTTGATTTGCCACTTGAGCTGCCTTGAGTATATATATCATTCTCTCTAAGTTATTTATGGATATTGA